ACAGTGATGATGAGAAGGGAGACCCATGTATGAGTTCTAGAGTTCAGTGGTGGCTATGGCCTAGAATTAAGAATTTAAAGCTAAGAGCACTGAAAATGTATTTAAGTCCATAACACACTAGATAAAATTAGTACAGTGAAACCAAAAACACTAGTTCAGGGCCGGGCGTTTACCTCAGTGGTGCCGCCACCTGCCTGGAAAGTGGAAGGTCCCGAGTTCGATCCCCGGTACAAAAAAAAAAAAAAAAAACCACCAGTTCCTACATATTCCTATTTCCAATTACTTACATGTTTCAGTAAATAAATTTTATCCATAATGGCCAAAACTCCAAGATCTTCCAAACAATTTCATTTCAAGTAATTCAATTATTATCACAAAGGCAGTTTGTGGCTGGGTGTGGTGGTACACATCTTTAATCCCTGTACTTGGAAGGCTGGGGCAGGGAGATTGCAATTTTGAGGCCAGGGTGGGCTACATAGCAAGTTCAAAGCCACCCTTGACTACACAGTAAGATCCTGTCAGGAAAGAAAGGAAAGAAAGAAAGAAAGAAAGAAAGAAAGAAAGAAAGAAAGAAAGAAAGAAAGAAAGAAAGAAAGAGTTGTTAAGTATAAATAAATTAAATCTATTTTTAGTCTATTGTTATGATTTAGATCTTAAGCATCTCCCAAACCAGGTATGCTGAACATGGTTATAATCCCAGCACTCTGGGAGGCTGAGACAGAAAGATACCAAGTTTGAGCCTATACTGGACAATCTAGCAACTTAGTGAGCCCTGCCTCAAACTAAGTTTTTGTTTTTGTTTTTGTTTTTTTTGAGGGGTCTCACTATGTAGTTCAGGCTAGTCTTGAACTCACTATGGAGTCCAAGCTGGTCTCGAACTTGCAGTGATCCTCTTACTACAGCCTCCTGAATGCTGAGATTATAGGTGTATGCCACCACAACAGGCATGTCTCAAAATTAAAAAAAAAAAAATTTTTTAAATTAGAAATGGGCTGGAGATTTCTTTGTAAAGTCCTTGGGTTCAATCTCCAGTATAAAAAAATAAATAAATAAAATAAAATGTCCCCCCAAAAGCTCATGTGTTCAATGAGGGGCTTTTGGAAAGTGACTAGATCGTGGGGTGCTAAAATCGCAAGTGGATTAATCCACTGCATGTGCTATTAAATAAACACCTCTTCCATGGACTTCAAGGAGTGACACAAACCAAAGATGACTTTAGGGATGAACAGTAGAACAAAGGAGAATTTAGCTTAGTACATAGATTACTGAGCAAGAACACAGCAAAATCCAGAGTGTGAAGAGGCCAGTCAGCTCAAAACTCTCTCCCTTGTTCCCCATATAAATGCCTCCCCCTCCAGCATTCTTTCAGCCTCTCAGACATGAATCCCAATACAGTACTTCTAGTTTGCAGTTATCTATGTAAATCTTGCTTTCAGAGTTATAACATGCCATCATAACCGGCTGAGGATCTATACTTTTAACACCCTTCCCTACTGATTCTTAGTGGTCCTTATGCACACAGAAATCTGAATACAATTATTTCTAATTCTCAGAGAAAAACTAGCTAGAGCCTTAATGGATTCTGCCTCAAGCACAAGCAAAATCTTTCCTTCTCCCTATAATAAGCTTTCTCTAAAGCAACCCCCTTTGTCATCACACCTGAAATATTTTCTCATTATGTGAAGAATAATTGCCTCAGCATGGTTTTTAAACATTTTCAAATCCACCTCAGTTTTCCAAACTTTCTCCTACTCCATTCAGTGTTTTAAAATGTGGCCCCACATCACTAGGGATGTTAAGAGGCACCGGGGATGAATTTGTTTTCTTTTTATTTTACAGCCATATTTATTTTAATGTGAACAAAGAAAAATTATAACTGCAAAATCCAAACCTGTGATTTTATGATGAATGGTAGGGCTTAAGAAAAAGACTAAATGGAAAAATAAAAGAATCAATTTTTTAAAATATTAAATAATAGCACAGGCAGTACTCAGATAAAAGTCTTAGATTTGGGAAACCTTGTCCTGTCCAGGTCTCTCAAGTAGGTACCCTGGGTGTCAGCCCTGCTTGTCAATTCTCCAACCCCGATCACAGGCATTCTCTGCCTTTACCCCAGTGGTGCCCATAAACCGCACAATCTCCTCTGGTAGATGTATCTTTAAATGATTCCCACCTTTTTATGCCCAGTTCATGCCTCCTTCCAGGATCCTCCTGATTCTCCCAGCTCTCCTATCACACTGTCTTTCTTTTTTTTTAAACTCTTTAACCTACTTATGGTACCACTTATTTGGAAACTAATTGCTACTTAAGTGTCAGTATGTATCTATTTAGCATTCTTTCCCTAGTGAAATGCAAGCCCTTTGACAGTAACCTGTGGCCCATTTACCTCTACCTTAGCTGCAATGCTAAGCTTCCCTAGTGGGATCTGAGTACCAAGCAGGTCCTGGATGAATACACATTAACTCAGAGTGCAGCTGAATGAAATGTTCTGCCACTATTCATGCTCTCCACATCTCCTTCAGGCCAGACTTCTAGTCACACCCAAAAATGGTGTGTCCCGTACAGAGGCCTGAGCCCAGGAAATTCTACCCAAAGGTGACTGTGTGGGAGCACCCTGGACGATGGGGATGGGAAAAGTGGCCTGAATCAATCCATTTGCAACTGTGTCCGTTTCCAAGGCCAGTCACCTTTGCCAATGCATCCCCAGGCTCAGGCTGAGGAAAGAGAGTGACTACAGCAGCATCTAGTGAAAACACCCCAAGATGAGCCATCAGAACAAGTTCTACAACTTGATTCATCCTATGCCTTTGGGTTTTTCTCTGTCTCAAGTTTTTTTTAAATCTGTCCAATACCTGTCAGGCCTAATTCACACTTGCTATAAGGCAAAAGAGATAATGACTTTGAAAGCACTTTTAAGTTACCACACACAATAAAAATGTCAGGAACACAGCACATGGATCTGCAAGGAGAACAAACAGCCTGGGAAGCCAGATGGGCTATTCTCTGCTAAGCAAGCAACAGGCAACTGGAGGTGAGAGCCCAACTTCCAACCTACCTTTCCTGGCCATATGATTTTGGTATCCCTTTAGTTTCTCTGAGACTCAATGTCCTTGTTGTGACACTGGCCTGTGCACTAGACGATCTGGTCTGGGGCCAAATCCACCATGAACTTGGGAACCTTAGAGAATGATAACCAAGCAAGACATCCTCATTTGCATGCTCCTCTAGAAGAAGTGCTAATGGGAGCAGGTGGTGCCCTGAGGCATCCAGAGTTTGGGGTGAACCCCCACTTAGTGTCCCCAGAGTCACTCGGACACACTACCTCCAACTGACACCTGTGGTTAAACACAGCCCTGCTGTGACCATCTCCCTGCTCTCTGCCCACTGCCCATCCTGTCTGTGTACCATGGAGAAGGCCCCATCTCCTTGCCACCACAGGCAAGTTTTCTCTCCCCTACCTGTTCAAAAACAAAAACAACTTTGAGATCACAGGTTTTCAGTGTTGAAGTCTGGTTCTGAAATTAGTTATTCTCACTCCCCCTAGCCTAGGACATTCACTGCTTACAGAAGTCAAAGAACCAAAGGCCATATACAGAGAGTAAATGGGGAATGAGTGGGAACTCGGAAGGAGGGGGACAACAGTGATTTGCAGTGGGATGGCACTGAGTTCTTAGGGATGTCCAGAAGGTCTGCCTCCTTTCCAAAGTGGGAACTACAAATCTCCTAGGGTTATACTGGTGTACTTTACTGGAGTTTCCACAACCATGGTTTCAGGCAGGCTACATCACACCCAGGAGCATAAAAAGATCTTTTTTCTTATTTTCCCCCTAAAACTCCTTTTCCTCAAAAATACATAAGGTGATATGCCAAGGGGGTTCAGATGCAACCTCTGACCTCTAGGATATTCATGAAATTATCTAGTTTCCAGTAGAAAGGGATTCCTCTACATCTCTTCATGAGATGCAGATTATCTCTCCTTTGCAGATGGAAGAATCTTGAAAATATTCATCCAGAGCAACACTGGCTCTGAGTGAAGCACGTAACAAACCTGAAAATACAGAAATTCATTTCCTAATTTAACACCTTCCATTCAAGAAGAGATAAAAAAAAAAAAAGCTTGCTTCTCTCTACTTGTCCAAGTGCCAAGGTTGAATGTAGTGTTTGTTTAATAGTATGTTGACAAGGCCTATTTCCAAGTGTCTGATATTTGACGGTGTAATCAATTACTGATTAACTCAATCTCAGAAATTGTATTTCACCCCACATTATCTTCACAATCAAAACAGGAAGACAATGTAACTTTAAGATTCAAAGCACTGACTCCCCCATACCTGTAAGCAGAACCATTTTAAAAATACAACAGTTCTGGGTGAATAAGCAATGAACTGGGCAAACCAAGGTGGACTGACATTTCTGGAACTTTAGAGGGGACAAACTGGGGAAGAGCACATTTTCTCCCCCTCTGTCAGAAGATGGGCTAACTACCTTGCAGATGAATAGAAATAGGCAAGGTTTCTCCCCAGGAGAAAAATAAAGCAACTCCTCACTCAGCAACGCAGGACAAAGCAAGACGTGCAAAAACCCTTCAATCTGAGCTCCACGTGCCTCTCCAAGGACAGAGGGACTCACACAGTCACTCACAGCCAGCCCACCACGCTCCTGCTGAAGACACCAGGTCCCGGCCAGCCTTCAGCACCAGCGGCCTTGGCTCCACCAGCTTGTGAGCCCCTGCAGCACCCGCTGTCAAAAGAGCACGGAGAGGGCAGAGGGCCGTACCCTCCTTCCAGCTTCCTCACCCCAATGCCGATTTCTCCCCACCTACCAAGTGAAACATTCCTCTCCAGACAAACTGGTAACACATACATACACACGAGCACACACCCTAGTCGCGACGATCCATCCCCATTGCCGAGGCGGCGCACAGTGAGTCTTTCCCCGCTACCCCACGGCCACTTCCCCGGACCGGGACCGGGACCGGGACCTGGAGGGGCCGGACTCACCCAGTCCTCGAAGTGGCGGCTCCCGTTCTGCAGCAGCTCCTCGAACTGGATGGTGCAGTTGGCCACAAAGTCGTCGTAGCCAATGGGGGCATCATGAAAGACGGCCAGCTCGATCTTGCGCCCATTGCACACATCGGTGACGAACTCGTCGTGCCAGGCCGGGCTGTTGGTTTTCTGCTTGGTGGCCGTTTGGCCGATGCGAGAGTCGTCCACGTTGAGCGCGATGTAGGGGTCGAGAAGGAAAGTCTGCGGCCGGGGTCCCACCGCATGGCGCAGCGACCAGGCTGTGGGCTTCAAACTCACGGCCTCGCAGATTTTGATCTTAAGAAGGCCATTGAACACTACCATGGTCGGGGCGGGGAGCGGGGGCCGGGTCACTCCGTCTGCCCCGCCGGCAGGAATGCACAGCGGACGGCGGGCGCTCGAGCCTCGGGGACTCCTGGGTCCCCTCTCTCCCCACCCCGTCGCTCCTTACACCTTGTGGCGCTGCGCCCCGGCGCCGGCGATCCTCAGCGAGCGCATGAATTTCCTCGTCGGATTCCTAACGGAAAGCAGGGAGGGGGAGAGCTAGGAGACGTCCGCGTTTGGAGCGCTCTCTTCCCTCCAGCGCCCGGCACCTCCTGGGGAGGGGACGCGCTTCGGCCCCGCCGCCAGCCGGGGCTGCCTCGCCGTCTCGCGGGCTCTCGGTCCGGGTGCGGAGAGCAGGCGCCGCGCCCGGCGCTTACCTACCTTTCCGAAACATAATCCCCGCGAAATTTCGACTCCGGGAGGGGGAGGGGGCGGCGGGACGGGGCGGGGACGAGAGCCGGGGGCGCAGATCTCAACCCGGATCCTCTTCGCCCACCCAGCGCCTGCCTCTGACCGCGCTGGGCGGGGGGCGGGCGGAGGGATGTGCGATCTACTCGGAGGGATGCATGTCGAGAGGAAATGGTCCTCTGCGCAGCCAAAGGTTTCAGACTCACGGCCGCACCGCCAGCCGAGCCGCCGCCGCCGCCGCCGCCCCCGGGGCGCAGCAGCGTTGCGCCGCAGCCGGCGATCCCGAGGCGCCAGGAGCCCGGAACCTCACATCCGCGCGGGCTCGGGGCGCAGGCCGGCTCGGGGCGGTGCGCAGCGCGGCGACGGGGCCGGGACGGCGACTCGGCTGCCCCACCTCCCGGCGCCGGCGCCGCCCGCCGAGCTCTCCGCGTCCCGGCTCTCTGCGGCCGCTCGCTCGCCGCCCGCCAGCCCGCTGTCCCCGCGGGCTCCGCGCCTCAGTGTGCGATCGAGCCTCCCTCCCTCCAGTGCAGGAAATGCGCAAAAGACGTCAGTGTGTGTGTGTGTGTGTGTGTGTGTGTGTGAGTGTATGTGTGCACGCGCGCGCGCGCCAGTGTTTGGGGAAATAGAAAGTTTTACCGGTTGGGGGAGCAATACGGGAAAAGTGAGCCGAGGAGAGAAGGGCAGAGAGCCGGGCGGGGATCCCGCGCGGGGACTCAGGGAGGAGCGCGCTGGTGCGACGGGATTCGCCCTGCCGATCTCCAGCGGGGGACGCTCGGGCTCAGCGGCCAGCACGGTCGTGTGGAGCCGTGGACAGAGAAGCAGCGGGGGTCGCGTGGCCCCCGAAGACTCCGAGCCTCCAGGAGCCCAGCCCCTGGCAGCGCCGGCGGGAGCGGCCTGCGGAGCCCCGGCCTGTCCGTGCCTCGCTCCGGGGACCCTCGGCGCCGCGCGGTGGGGAGGCCCGAGCAGGGACGGGCCCGGCTTGGGAGTTTTAAATGTGATTGTAGCTCTTCCCTTGCTTCGGGACTTTCTCCCCGCCGGGCTGTGTCCCGGACTTCTCGGGCTGCGAGAACCTGTTGACGAGCGGAAGGTTGGTATGAAGCCCTGGCCCGCACGGCTCGTGTGTCTTGTTTGTTTTTTATCGAGTGACTCCCGCGATTGACTCTGGGCCTCGGCGGCGCCCCCTAGGGGCCCTCGACTCGCACCCGCGCGCTGACAGCGGGAAAGCCGGGCGCGCCCCGCGGGGGGCAGGGGCTGTGTCCACGCCGATTTCCTCCGTAACCTTTCAACTCTCGCCCGAGCGGCGGCGGCGGCGGCGGCGGCGGCGGCGGCTGGTCACGTGGGGCGAGCTGGGCCGCCGGGGGAGAATTTCCTCCGCGGGAGCCGGGACGGGGAAGGCGGCGGAGCGAGGGGCAGCCCCGCGCCGGGGACGGGGAACCGGGAAGGGCGGGGGTCGCCTGGGGAAGGGGCGACCTGGAGCCCGGGCTGCCCTAGTGGCAAGAGAAAACCGCCACCTTCGCTCCTACACCAAGTCAAGTTGGGGAGTTTGTGAGGATCGCGGTGAGCTGAGTTTATCTGGCGGGTTTAAATAGTATAGACCAAAATTTAGAAAAAGATTACCCTTCCCTATGGCTTAAAAAGGCGAGGAAGGAGGCAGTCCCCTGGAACAACTGGACGTCAGGTGCAGCACACAGATCCCCAAAATAATCAGAAGAGTCCCAAGGCCATTGAGGGAAATCCTGTAGCCCCAGAAAACTTGATGCTTTCGGTCGTTCTCCCGGGGCTTACAAGTATGCATTCCTTGGAGCCGGCCCAGTGCTTCGGGCAGCTGGGTAGAGATGGTGCCGACAGCAGTCTTGGGGACAGCTGTGATCGCTCAAACGTAAAACGCCTTTAAAAGTGTGCCTTGGTTGGGGATTTAGCTCAGTGGTTCCGGTGCCTGCCTCGCAAGCGCAAGGTCCCGAGTTCAATTCCCGGTACCAAAAAAAAAAAAAAGTGTGCCTTACATGGCCACTCCCACCAACTGGAGGTGTGATATTTTAAAATCATCAGTTTGGCTAAGTACAAGCGGGGATATCTCTATCTCATTGCTGCTTGATTTGCATTTCTTTGATAACTGGAATTTTTCTCCCTTGCTTCTCAGTTCCACAATTTCTTTTTTCTTTTTCGTGTGTGCGAGTGCAGAGAGAGAGGGAGATTCACGATGTAGTTCAAGCTGACCTTGCTGGCCTTGAACTCCCCGGCTTCCTCCTCCCTCAGCCTCCCAAATATGGCGGCACCACAATTCAATTCTAATTAAACTTTTTTTCCCCTTCCCAGGGCATGTAGTGGAAGGTAATGGCTCATAGGGCTTGAACGTCTGAAATGCATTTGGGAAAGAGGGGCAGGACTAAAATGAAATGAGTGAGGTACCTTACAAACAGGCAAACTTTGAACTCATTAATCAAAATGAATAGTTTAATGCAATGTTTTATAAATAAGAATGTAAACTTTTAGGATGACAGGATATCCACATTTTTAAAATGTTAACTACTACACTAAATATTATTTGTTACTGAGTTCATTGGCACCCATTGCATTTTATACCCAAACAGAAGTCTTGGCCTTACCCTAGTTCCAGCCCTGTTGGGAAGTCTAGATAGATATCCAGGATGTCTTAGGGACCATTGACTAGCTCGCGTTCCACACCATCTCTCTAACTTGCTGGGGTGGGTCAAATCCTACATGCAAACAGAAATACATGGGATTGAAAAACATTGACCTAAATCCCTCCTGTTTAGTGTATTAAACAGAAAATATGGTAGAATGGACACTGAACTTTTGGCATATCCTATTCCTACTCTCCACCCCAGCAAGACCCCCAAATATATTAAACAGAAACTTTTCCCACCTCAGTGACTATCTTAAAACAGGTAACTCAGGGCCAGGGTTTTAGCTCAGTGTTGTCACCGCCTGCCTCATAAGCACAAAGTCCTGAGTTCGAACCCTGGTACAAAACAAAACAGATAACCTACGCTCCGCTCCGTGTCCTGGATAAGGGTTAGAAAAGTGGCATCTGCCTCTCAGCAAACTCTTCTTCCATGGGAACAGACCAGTTCTCAGAGGTGACCACCATCAGTCTCCTTTCTATTACAAGTCTTAGGGCTGGAGATTTAGCTCAGTGCCTGCCTGGAAAGTGCAAGGTCCTGAGTTCAATCCCCGGTTCCGCCAAAAAAAAAAAAAAAAATCTATTACACTGCTGTGAATATCTTTAGTTGCGTGGTCTCCATGTTGTGAATGGATTCAAAGTGCTTTCCTCGGGATCCGGTGAATAGGGCTGGAGATTTAGCTCAGTGCCTGCCTGGAAAGTGCAAGGTCCTGAGTTCAACCCCCGGTTCCGCCAAAAAAAAAAAAAAAAATCTATTACAAGTCCTTCAGGGTGGGGATACAAAAAGACTTGGTCAAACAAAATGCCTGCTTTGTATTGAATGAATGCTTATATAAAAATAGAAATACCCGGGCATGGTGGCACATGCTGGTAATCCCAGCACTCACACTAGGGAGGCTGAGGTAGGAGGATCGCCATGAGTTGAAGACTGGCCTGGGATATATCCTGAGACCCTGTCTAGAGACAGGGAGGGAGAGAGAGAAAGAGACCACCTGTAATCTCAGCACTCTGGGAGGCTGAGGCAGGAGGATTACAAGTTCAAGCCTATCCTGGACAATTTAGTCATTTAGGAGACCCTGTCTCAAAACAAAAAAATTTAAAAAGGCTGAAGATGTAGCTCAGTTTGAAGGCCTTGGGTTTCAGTCCCCAGTTGCTAGAGGCAGGGAGGAGAATGCTGATAATCTGCATGCAAACTTCCTAGCTTTTTGCCCTTATTACATCCTTATTTCTAAGTAAATCTCTCATTTTGGGCTGGGGATTTAGCTCAGTGGTTTCACCGCCTGCTGGGAAAGCTCAAGGACCTGAGTTTGATCCCCAGTACCAAAAAAAAAAATCATCTTCCTACTCTTACTCTTGCTCTTACATTTGGCCACATGAAAAATGTGTGGACGTGCCAGAGACCTCTTAAATTTCCCTGAAGGGGAGGGGGCCTAAAATAACCCACTGCTCCAGATTTCATCGGAAAAGGGCCTGCTTCCTCCTCCTGGCCCCTGTGTACCACGCTAAGGGACAGGACAGGACGGTAAATTGTGTATATGTTGAGTAAAATGCTCTTTGGCCCCCAACAATGGTCTGGTTGTTTCATTATCTACAAGAGAAGGAAGAGGAGAATGAGGAAAAAAAAATGTAATAAAGATCAAGATGGGGGTCCTCATTTTTTTAATAACAGCTTTATTGAACAAAAATTTGCACACAATGCAATTAACAAATTTAAAGGGTATGATTCAGTAGATATTAGCATATTGACAGAATTGTACAACTATGACCACAATCAAATTTAGATCATTTTTATTATCCCAAAGCAAAACACTCTACCCACTAGCTCTCATCTCCCAATCCCTCCCCCCTAAATCTAGGCAATCACAGAGCTATTCTCTTCAAAGACTTTCCTAGTCTAGGAATTTATTTATTTTTTTATTCAAGATAGACCATGCTGATAGTAACAATAAAGACTTTAACATAGCCAAAGAAATGGAAATCCTCCTAAGTGAGCTCTCTTACCACAGTGGAGTAAAACTAGAAACC